GTAGGAGCTTGACAGGGATTTGTTTAGTTAGTAAGAAAAATCAGCTCAGCTACTTGGAGGTTACAATGTAAGATTAGTCAGATTTCAAGAGCTAGTCTCAATTTCTTTCACTGATGAGGCAAAAAAAGGTCAATTTTATATTTTCATATTTTGTGATGGAGAAATTTAGCATCTCATCTAAATATTGACTTTGATCATTTGATCTGATTCAAAACATTTTTAAGATAAATTTTGACCCCATCCACTTTATAGGGTTTTTGTCATTGTGGAGGTAAAAGAGCCCTATGTGAGAAAACAGAAACCAATTTTCTCAGTTTTCTAAATCTCAGGACTTGGCATATCAAAGGCATACAACAAAAAATTTATAAGTGAAAAATTTATAAGTGATCTGAGGAATATGAAATTGGTTAAACATCCTCAGAATTAATAAGCTATATTTTCTCCTCCTCTGATTCACACCAACTATATTCAATTTATAATAAATAAATGAAGTTTTTTTTTCTTTTTTTTTTACTTAGCATAGCAGAAAGATTAATATTGCACTTCAAGGCCTCAAAATTTTTAGGAAAAAATGTAACCAAAAAAAATGTAACCAACTTTAAGATTTTAGGGTCACAATATCATATCACATAAGCAAGCTTTCCTTCCAGCACATACTGGGACCTGAAAATAATCCAGTGTTTTCTAATGGTTCAGATTCAGGTTGTGTGCAATGAGATGATACTAATTTAGTTGTGTCACAGCGACTTTCTCCATTTGTGCTCTTCAGCATTCTCAACTAAATTTGTTGAAACAAGTCTGTTTTCCAGCTCTATGACTTTATTTTTTATTATTAATCTCTTTGATAATATACAGCTAATTTATTGTACTTACACTTCTGTCATCTCTTTCATCATCACACTCAAGGCATATAGTCTCATTTGGCAAAAATGAAAATAGATAGCATCCCATCTACCGAAACAACAATAAGCAAGTGAACATTTTTTTCTGGCCGTACCATGTGGCATGTGGGACATTAGTGCCCTGATCAGGGATCAAACCCTTGTCCCTTGCGGTAGAAATGCAGAGTCTTAATCAGTGGACCATCAGGGCATTCCTCAGACATTTTTAATTGACACTTCTTGACATTGAAGACTATGAAAGATCACTGTTCTACATAAGAAGTTTGAGGTCAAAAGAATAATGATGTTTAGAAGGAAAAAGAATAAAGTAAGAAAGGAATTGTTGAGAAAAAATTCCTTGAAACAGTCACCCGTTCATTCCTTAAATATGCATTCAATGGTTTCTATGGTGTCAGTTACTGAGAATACAAAAATGAGTAAGACACACTGCCTGCCATCAGGGATTCCCAGAATAGTGAGCTACACAGTTAAAGGACAGTGAACATGACTTATGAGATCAACCTTGAAGCAGAAGTAAGATTTGCCTGCAAAGGAGATAAACAATGGGCATTCATGGAAAAAAAAAAAAAAGCTAGTAGGTAGACTAGCACAGACATATGATCATGGATAGAATATTCTGGAAGCACCAATGATGTGAGATTAAAGTATTGGTGATAACCAGTGATATAGTAAAGATAATGTTAGAGAAACAGGTTGAGGCTTTGTGACATACTAAGACACATTAAGGAATACATTTTGAAGGGAATAGGGAACTATAAGAGACTCTAAAGTAGGGGGACAATCCATTTGTATGTATGATTTTTAGAGGATGGGTGTGTTGGTTTCAATATGGAGGATGAGTTGGGGGTAGAACCTAGAGGCAGGAGAAATACTGGGAGCCATAATAATACCCAAGGGAGGTGATGAAGACCTGAAATAGAGCAGTTTCAGAGGATGGAAAGGAATGAATTTATTTATCATAATTTGTTAAATGTGGTGATACATGATATAGGCCAAGAAAAAGCATGAATAGTAAAGGTCAACAGCTGACAGTGAAGGCAATGGGGGTGGCTTAGAGAGACTAAAGAGATTACTAAGAAAAGGGGCCTGCTAGGGACAAATAGAAGGACTGTTAAGTATTGTTGACAGCTCAGATCAGGCTGAAACTCATGAATCTTCCAATCAGAAATTTACGTTTGCAAAGTTCTCCACAAAAGCCTCAACAGATCAGGCCACAACTAAAATAAAAAATGATAAAGAATGAACTGGAATTATCAATGATATCAGCAGACTGCTGGATTTCTCTTTTAGAATAAAGAATCTTAAAAAAAATGACTATAAAAGCAGAAGAGTGAGTTTCTATTTCTGGCAACAGTATGAAGATAATTTGAACTGACACTCTCACTAAGGTGATTAAAAATATTTCAAATATAAAAACAGCAAAGAGTTAATGAGATGGGGAAGGCATGGAAAAATTCAAGAGTGAAGACCAGAGCTTGGAGACAGACACACATCTTTGAAAGCTTCTGCTCTTGGGCATCTGAGTATCAGGAGCAAAAGGTCTGAGCAACCAGCTGTACCATAAACAGCCTTATGGGTGTTCTTGTTCCTCAACTGTGTCTGTCTCTTTGTGACCCCATGAACTGCAGCACACCAGGCTTCCCTGTCCTTCACTATCCCATGGAGCATGCTCAAACTCATGTCCATTGGGTGGATGATGCTATCCAGCCACCTCATCCTCTGTCACTGCCTCTTCCTCTTGCCTTCAATCTTCCCCAGCATCAGGGTCTTTTCCAAAGAGTCGGCTCTTCAAATCAGGTGGCCAAAAGTACTGGAGCTTCAGCTTCAGCATCAGTCCTTCCAGTGAATATTCACATTTAATTTCCTTTAGGATTGAATGGTTTGATCTCCTTGTTGTCCAAGGGTGTTGTGGGAATGTTCAAGCCCATAGTCCTCAGGTGAGGACTTTGATAAACTAACACAATTTTCAGTTGGGGACTCAAAAGGCCATATCTTCCCTCAAGGTAGAAGTGAATCCCAAATAAACCATCCCTCACACACATCTGCAGCCTTGCTACTTGCACAAGGATAATTCAAGGAATCTTAGGTGCCGTCCTTTGACTCAGGTGCTTCTGGTCAGATATTGCCTCTAGAGGCCCTGTCAGAAGCAAAACCAAAACAAAAAAAAAAAAACCAAACAAACAAAAAAAAGAAGCAAACCCAAGTCCCCTCTGGAGGAAGCCAGCATCACCACCAGGTCTCAACTGATCCCTACAAGCGATTTTAAAAATACTTTTCCGGTAGATAGTCAAAGAGATCCAAGCAACCAAGAAAACAAGACGCCGCGCATGAGAAGTGGCAAGAGCAGTAAGAATAGAAATCAATCTTGGTAACTCTTGAGATATTAGAATGAGCAGACATATTATAAAGCAACTATACTTACTATGTTCAAAGAAATAAAATTAAAGCTTGACAATGTCAGCAGGGACATCACAGCAACACAGAAATATTCATCGGCCCCCTTTCCTGTCAATGCTATCTGGCCACGTATGTCTAAAATTCTTACATGTAAGAACTTTTTACAAATGCTGTATTCTTTGGGGGTTTTCTTTAGTGCACTGAAAACAGAAACAAAGCCCCATTCTAATGTAATTTTATTTGTATGTATAATTCAATCAGAAATATATTAAAATAAAAGGGAAGTTTATTTGTGTCCTGGTGTCTTTGGTGAATATACATATGCATTATCTCACAAGTTTCTTGAAGACACCTATAATTCCTGCCAGGCTCCCTCCTCTGGTCAACAGATCAGGACACAGGTAGGCAAAAGAGGACAGGCATCCCATGTCACCAGGAAAAATGTATAAAGGTACCATCCACATGTGGAGAAGTGAAAGTTAACTGCAGCTTTTACAATCTAATGGGTTAATTATAAATATTAGGGAATGCTAACTGTGACTAACAAAATTGCTATAAAATTAAGTGACTTGGTTAGTATCATGTTCATTTTTCATTTCAGAAAAGTAACTCGGTATATTATTTATTCTTATCAAAGTTGAGTGAAAAATTGTCATTCATTGTTGGTACCTAGTTCAGCCAACTTAGTTCATTAGAATCTGGTTGATGTGACTGAACAAAACCTGGCCAGTTACACGTAACAACTGTTCAGCCTCACACTCTAACAAGCACGTCAGCACATTTATTTTCCCCATATAAAGTAGAATTTTCAATTCATACCATGTACTCTGTGACTATTATGGCCAGTATTTATTCAGAAGGAATGCTGTGCAAGTTTGGAAAAGCTGTCTCTAAGAGAGCCGAGAGGTCACTGGACAAAACAAGAAACAAAACCTATACATGGTCAAAACATGAAGAGGACTAAAGTTTGTCGTTCTTTCTTTTAAAGAAAAAAGTTCTGAAATCTTGAGCACACAGCCAGACAACATCAAACCAGCCAGCTCAGTCCCTGCTCCTTCCAAGCTCCATGGAATCAGAACTCTTCTATTCACTTTGCAAATATCAGCTTTTTTGGAGGAGGAAAACCTGCTTGGAATTAATGAGATGACACCCAAAAATAACTTCTATTAATAAATTGTTCTCTTCAATATAAAACTGCCCATTTTTCTCATTAAAAAAAAAAAAGTATTTTCTAAAGGCTCCTTATGCACTTCCTACCATTTTTTTTCTTTCTTATATTCTTATTTTCTTTTTGCATCTTTTAAATTAAAAAATGCCATAGTGCTAATCAGGGGAAATAATTCCATCTGACAAGAATACAGTCAATCCAATGGGGTTGCGGACAGAGCCACACTTAATGCTGTGATATGTAACTCCTGACGGTGTAATTTAAGAAATGCAGGGTGTTTCAGGAGGAGTTAACAGAGGAAAAAGTAAAAGTGAAGTCAAACTGGAGTTACAGACAAGCAAGGTCAATTTCAAAACTAAGCTGAAATACACTGTTTCTTTCCACTTCACAAAACAGTAAACGCCAAGTATCTCAAGAAAGCTAACAGGGGAGAATCTCCCTGATCATTTCTTCATTCACACAAATAAAAAGAAAGCGGCAACATTAACCTTCCCAGAGAAGCGATCGCGCCTACAACCAGTCTTTGCACTTACCCTAGAGTATGTACACCATGATCTCTTAAAGAATCCTGTTAATTCCAGTACGCCCAGGACATATATGAATTCTTAGCACATTCGCGGAAAGAACCAACCTTAACGAAATGGTTAATTACAACAGGACTCTGAAATCCTAGTGAGGCACGAGGGTAGAATCCAGCCTCCAGATCCTAGCGTATACTGTGTCTATCTTTAACTGGAAAATGACTTGGTTTCACATTCCACTGAAGTCCCACTGGCAGATGCCTTTGGTAAGCTCACCAATCGCAGGCTGTCAAACGCCCTCCCGCTACCCCCCGCCGCCCCCTCCGTCCCGCTCAGGCTCAGACTGAGCTTCCGCTGCTACGGCTAATGCTGATTTATTCAGCTGTCTTTATACCTGTCTCCGCGTGGGTAAAAGGAGATGCTTTCATTGATGGCTATTACGGAAACGCTTGGAAACTGAAGATCAGCCGGGGGACTCGCTCTGCTCTTCTCCCTGCCATCCCTTCCCCCTCCCTCCCGCCAGAAGCCATCTGACTTCCAAACTTGGCTGTCTGAAAAAGAATGTTCTCTGATTGGCATTCCTGGAAGCAGAAAGCAAGGCAGCTCGAGTTGTGTTCTGTTACTCAGCGTGAAAAACTTCCCAGGTAGGCAGAATACAAACAAGTTAAGTTTCCTGAGATTTTTTTTTTTTTTTTTCTTCCCCTGAACTTTGAGGAGACACCAGGGAAATATCTGGGAGCGTGACAAATAGTTTTGTTGTGCACACATTTAAGTTTGGATATTCACCTATAATTTTACCCCACATGGCTATGGATGCAGTGAAAAAGTGAGATGGCGCATCTTTTGTTAAAAGCTGAATTTCCTTATTAGTAAATGCGTTGGATCTTGTTACAGGAAGAAATGGTCATGCCGCCTCTAATATTCTGAAAGGCAACTATGAGGTCTGTGGATTTTCTGTGAGTGAAAACCTTGCTCATAGGAAACATGAAAAAAAAAAAAAACAAAACCAACTGCTTTCAATTGTCCTATATTTTGTATTGCAAACAGCAGAAGCGAGTGCAAGAAATGTTTCTATCTCCGCATCAAGTCTTCTTGTCCAAAACTGTCTTGTAAACTTTGATGAAGACTGGGGGAAAAAAAAAAGTGTGTGTGTGTGTGTGTGTGTGTGGCCATGTACAATACACCCCCACACCCCATAGTCACACACACATGTCTGAACAAAGAAAAACTGAGTGAATGGAAATGACGGGAAAAACACATTTTCTCACACAGGAACTGACAAGAATTACTACTCTGGAGTAATAGTAATTCAAATCACGACTCCTAAAATTGTGTTTCATATTTATTTTGTGGTCACTGGGGTCAAAAGGTCTGCTGTGCTGAAAACATTTTGCCTCACCCTGTTCACAAGAGTGAGTGTATTACATGCCATGTTATGGACCAGACCAACTTCTTGCAAGGTCTGATAGAGGATTTATGTTAATAATTGCAGCAGTCAGACAAACCACAGCCCCCGGCGTCTTGGGGTTTCCAGATCTCATCTGGCTGCCGCTGCCAACTCTCGGCAACTGTCAGCTGGCGGGGCTCAGGGTGGTGGTGTGGCTGAGGCTGCCTCTGCGACTTACACAGACGTCTCAAAAATACCCAATGGCAGGAGACTGATTCCAAAGAGAAAGCTTTCTCTTTGTTTGTGGTTGCTTTTAAATGTTCTGTTCTCGGTGATCTTGTACCACATCTAAAGAAGCCCATTTTAGGGAACTGTGAGTGAACACCTGATGAACTGGCATCATATTACTAATTTATTTCTGTGATATTCTCATGCCCCATCTAGGTTGGCCTGCTACCAACCTGCTCACTCCTTATCCCATTACTAGATGTCCTTTAGAAAAAAAGGTTAAAAGAAGGAGGGAGAGGAGGAAGAAACTTTCCTTATGCTTATTCCCAAGCTGATTAACTAAGAGACATTTCAGGCTCTGTGTATTGTGGATAGATAAGGACATCTGAATGACTTCAGACATAAATAGAAATAACCAGTCACCCAGAGAACACACATCCCTGTCTTTGTGATTCTTCTTCCCTCTATCAAAATGCTCCTCCCCAAGGCTAATGGATGGTGTCAAAACACATGTGAACTAAGAAGAGTGGACAGAGCTGGCGGCAGGCCATCTGGTTCACATCGGCCACACTACTCACTCATGCTGGACCTTCCAGTGAACACTAGCATCAGTGAAACTCAAGAAACATTTGTTGAAGCAAGCAAATAGTTGCTGGTGTAAAAATGTATATTTAACCTAAGGAACACAGTTATAGGTAGGCTCACATTTTAGATGAGTATGTTTGCATTTAATTTGATGACTCGCAGGGAAAATTATATCTCTTTTCTAGCCATTAACCAAAAGATTATACGGAGGGTATGCCAGGCACTGAGTACCTTTACTGTGGGCTTCCCTGGTGGCTCAGAGGATACAGAATCTGCCTGCCCGGCAGGAGACCCAGGTTCGATCCCTGGGTTGAGAAGATCCCTTGGAGAAGGAAATGACTACCCACTCCAGTATTCTTGTCTGGAGAATTCCATAAACAGGGGAGCCCGGTGAGCTACAGTCCATGGAGTCAGAGTCACGACTGAGCAATTAACATTATTATATTATAGATTATAATATTATATAGATTATATAGATTATAATATTATAGATTATTATACATTTTGGATCTGTGTGAGTAAATGACTCTAAATATCAACATGGCAAATTCTGCTAAGTTTATTTCTATTGAACTTGCTGGCTTCTAAAGAGAAATAAAAGAAAATAGTTTTATGGATTTCTAATATTTCACAATAACTAGTAAACCATAACAAGTTTTATTTATTGAATTCTTCCTGACCATTCCTTATAGTATAACATGCATCAATCAAATATCTCCTTAGGTTCCAACTTTATGTCTTTTTATATTTTCATCTGTTTCAATGACAGAAATTCCAGAACGTTTGCAACAGTAGTGGTAGCCGGAGTCCAAACCCAAGGCTGAGTGAACACACAGGAATTTTTTTTTCTTCCTTTCTCCCCCTTAACCTTCACAAGGCAGTTGATAAGATTTATAATGGCTAGAACTCAGTCTTTATCATGAGTAAATGTTATTTTTCTCTTTCATAAGCACTAACAAGAGAGTTAGGATTTGATCAGAAAAATAGCTTCCAGGGCTTGCTTCCAAAGAAAACTGGGCATGTAACAAGCAAATCAAATACCCTTGATTTATCATGAACAAGCAGTTAATCTGCTCCATTCTCCAGAAATAGACTGTCTTAGCTCAGTTCTGTGTATGGCAAAGGCTGGTAGCAGTCTCCTTGCAGGGTGAACAAGGTATTTAGACAGGTCTTAGCTGATCTGTGAAGCATCTGTGTGTGAAAAATCTGGACAATGAAAAGCAAATGGTCCCTTTGCTTTTCCTCTCTAGCATCCTTAAGACACCAGGCTTAAGCTGACAAAGACTGTATTCTCATGATGATAGTTTTGTGGATGATTTTGTCTTTTTTTTTCCATTTATTTTTATTAGTTGGAGGCTAATTACTTTACAGTATTGTAGTGGTTTTTGCCATACATTGACATGAATCAGCCATGGATTTACATGTGTTCCCCATCCTGAACCCCCCTCCCACCTCCCTCCCCATCCCATCCCTCTGGGTCATCCCAGTNCTTTAACAAGTGGTGCTGGGAAAACTGGTCAACCACTTGTAAAAGAATGAAACTAGAACACTTTCTAACACCATACACAAAAATAAACTCAAAATGGATTAAAGATCTAAATGTAAGACCAGAAACTACAAAACTCCTAGAGGAGAACATAGGCAAAACACTCTCTGACATAAATCACAGCAAGATCCTCTATGACCCACCTCCCAGAATATTGGAAATAAAAGCAAAAATAAACAAATGGGACCTAATGAAACTTAAAAGCTTTTACACAACAAAGGAAACTATAAGCAAGGTGAAAAGACAGACTTCAGAATGGGAGAAAATAAGAGCAAATGAAGAAACAGACAAAGGATTAATCTCAAAAATATACAAGCAACTCCTGCAGCTCAATTCCAGAAAAATAAATGACCCAATCAAAAAATGGGCCAAAGATCTAAACAGACATTTCTCCAAAGAAGACATACAGATGGCTAACAAACACATGAAAAGATGCTCAACATCACTCATTATCAGAAAAATGCAAATCAAAACCTCAATGAGGTACCATTACACACCAGTCAGAATGATTTTGTCTTTTATATATTATTATTTTGAAAAAACAAAACACACTATTTGCTATAGGCCAAATATTTTTGTCCCCCAAAATATGTATGTTGAAACCTAACCTCTCATGTGATAGTCACAGTATTAGGGGCCTTTGGGAGGTGCTTAGGTCACAAGGGTGGAATCCTCATGAATGGGATTAGTGGCCTTATAAATGAGACTCCAGAGAGCTTGTTCATCCCTTCCACCAGAGACAACACAGCAAAGATATGGCCTTCAATGAGCCAGGAAGCAGGCCCTCATCAAACACCAAATCTGTTGGCATCTTGATTTTGGACTTCCAGCCTTCACACTGTGAGAAATAAATTTCCATTGTTTATTTCAGTTGTTTATGAGCCACTCAATCCATGGTATATTGTTACAGTGGCCTGAATGGATTAAGACATTCTTTATGCAAAAGTGAGTTTGTCTGTGATAACCTGGAAGGGCAGGATGGGGGATGGGTGGGAGGGAGGCTCAGGAAGGAGGGACACACATATACTTACAGCCAATTCATGTTGTTGAATGGCAGAAACCAACACACCGTAAAACAATCATCCTCCAATTAAAATAAATTTTAAAAAGCTGAGTTTGCTTTTGTGAGGGAGGGGATAAATCATGTTTTTTTTTCCCTGCAGAAAAAAATAATAAACCCAAGTAGTAGTTGTTGAAAAGTAGTTAAAATAGACACTGCCCAAGAAAAAAAAGTAGAAAAACTATACATATAGGGGCTCCAACAACAGATATGGAAGGGTTTCAAAGCAGCAGCTTGCTCTGTATAATCTTATTAAATGCCAATCAACTTCAAAATTGGATACCATGGGCATTGATTTTTTAATGCCTATGGTATGAAAATAGCCCTAATTATGGAAAGCACCATATGTATAAATTTACTAACTATAATATCATATTTGGTGGAGAA